AACCCTAGAGTCTCTTTCCATTGATGTATGCTGTGTCTCTGAAACACGCATACAGGATCCCAGTGTGGTCATTCACTTGACCTCACCTCGGCAGAACGGAGAGCCAACGAGATACACCCTCCGTGTATCTGGTGACCCGATGGCCAGTTCTCGTGGACTGGCAGGTTTAGGCATAGCACTAAGCATGAGGGCCGAACAAGCACTGCTAGAGTGGATCCCCGTCAACAGTCGTCTATGTGCTGTTCGGCTGAACGGCTACGTAAGAACTCGGAAGGATAGGGACACACGTCGTTGCCTTTTTGTCGTTTCTGTCTACGCTCCCACTGACTGCAGCTCAGATGAAGTAAAAGATGAATTTTACAGAAAGCTTTCTGAACTTCTTCAGAAAGCTAAACGCTCAGACATAGTACTCGTAGCGGGTGATTTTAATGCTCAGATAGGTAGCTTAAACCAAACAGAAAGGCATTTAGGTGGATATTTTAGTATTCCGACACAGCGAACAGATAACGGTGATCGTCTGCTGCAGCTATGCTCAGACAATCGTTTATTTTTAGCAAATACAAATTTTAAGCATAAGGAGAGACATCGTCTAACATGGCGACCCCCTACACCAAACCAACGATGGACTCAAATAGACCATATTGCCATCAGTCATCGTTGGAGAGGGTCGGTACAAGATTGTCGCTCATTCTGGAGTACCTGCTTGGACTCCGACCATGCCCTAATACGGGCACGCATCTGCTTGCGCCTCACTGGACGCAAAAAAGCCACATTAAAAAGACCCGTTAGAACTGAGTTGAGTAACGAGAAAACCAAAAGTAGGTTCCAGGAACAACTGAGGTCACACTTAGGTAGTTGTGAAGACGAGGCTGACCCAGATGTTGCTTGGAAGAGCATACAATCAGCTGTGGAAACAGCAGTGACATCTATTAGTGACTTAAACCACAGAGTTGCAAGGAACCAGTGGATTTCTTCAAGGTCTGTCACACTGATGGATTCTCGCAAACTCGTCCCATCAGGTTCTGAACATGATGAAGAGCGAAAACAAATCAGATCTAGGTTAAGAAAAAGTCTAAGAAACGACCGTGAGCAGTGGTGGGTAACGAAAGCAAAAGAGATGGAAAAGGCGGCGACTATAGGGAACACAAGACAGCTTTACAGACTAATAAAAGAAACTGGAATTAATAAGTCAAGTGTAAGTGAGATTATTTCGGAAAAAGATGATACTCTCATCTGCTCCCAGTCCAGACGTTTAGAACGATGGGCGGAACATTTTAGAGAACAGTTCAGCTGGCCTTCAGCTACTCTACAACTACCCTCCATTCCCAGACAATGTGAATGGAACATTGAAGTAGGTCCCCCAACTCTTGCTGAAGTTCAAAAGGCTATAGTTAATCTGAAACGAGGAAGGGCAGCTGGTCCAGATGGATTGGCTCCAGAGGTCTTTAAGGATGGTGGTCCAATTTTAGCGATTAGGTTGACTAATACTTTAGCTAAGATCTGGGAATTAGACTTTATCCCATCTGACTGGTCGCAATCACTCATCGTCCCAATATATAAGAAAGGGTCAAAATCATCCTGTGACAACCACAGAGGGATTAGTTTAACAAACATAGTATCTAAAATACTGGCCTCGATAATTATCAGACGCCTAACTAAGACTCGTGAACTACAAACTCGAGAGAACCAAGCTGGCTTTAGACCTGGTCGTGGCTGCATCGACCACATATTCACCATTCGTCAGGTTCTAGAACACAGGCATACCTATCGGCGTCCGACGATGGTGGTCTTTCTTGACTTAAAAGCAGCGTTTGACTCTGTAGACCGCGAGACTCTGTGGCAGTGTCTGTCATTGAAAGGCGTACCTCAGAAGTACATAAACCTTGTGAAGGCTCTTTACTCGAACACTACTAGTCGAGTCAGGGCTTATGGCGAACTGTCATCTACTTTTGCAACTTCAAGTGGTGTCCGTCAAGGCTGTCCACTTTCTCCATTTCTGTTTAACTTCATCATAGACCTATTGATGGAAATAACACTCTCGTCGACTGAATTCTCGGGTATTGATCTCCTTCCAGGAGGTCCACTTATCGACTTAGAATACGCAGATGATATAGTCCTGTTTGGTGAAGACGCTGACAAAATGCAGAGTCTTCTGGTAGCACTAAGCAACAATGCCAGAATGTTTGGGATGCGCTTCTCTCCCTCTAAATGCAAGTTGTTGCTTCAGGACTGGTCTGCGTCAACACCTGAACTAAGGATAGGGAGTGAAGTAGTCGAACGCGTCGACAACTTCACTTATCTTGGAAGTCTGATCAGCCCTAATGGGTTGGTGTCTGACGAAATCTCAGCACGGATTCGAAAAGCTCGTTTGGCTTTTGCCAACTTACGTCACCTTTGGCGGAGGCGAGATATCCGTCTATCAATTAAAGGACGAGTTTACTGCGCGGCAGTCCGTTCTGTCTTACTTTACGGCAGCGAAACATGGCCTTTAAGAGTAGAAGACACCCGTAAGCTACAAGTATTTGACCACAGATGCCTTAGAAATATTGCTGGCATCTGCTGGGATCACCGGGTAAGTAATAGTGAGGTTAGACGCAGGGTATTAGGGAATGATGGTAAATCAGTTGATGAGGTTATGAATCTTCATCGACTGAGATGGTTGGGCCACGTATTACGTATGCCTGAACACCGATTACCACGACGTGCAATACTAACCGGTGTAGGGGTTGGTTGGAAGAAAGTTAGGGGCGGCCAAACCAAAACGTGGCATCAGTGCTTGAAGTCACTAACTTCTAGTCTTAGCCATGTTGGTAGATGCAGACTACTTGGTTGGGGTCCGCGTGACTATCGTAACCAATGGTTGGAGACTCTTGGTGACATGGCTCAGAATCGATCACAATGGCGTCGGTGTATACACTCCCTGTCTTCCCTTAAACTAAGAGATTAAATCACTTCATATCTTTCTTTCCACGAACTAATTCTTCCTTCCTATACTATATCCTTATTGCAACCTTTGACCTAACCACTCCTATGAATCCGGTGTTCATCTTGTTGTGCTAATGAGGTATGGCAACCTGGACCGATGCACATATGTGCCTGGTCCTACGTTGTAGCTGACTGACTGACTGACTGATACAGTGCACCTCAACACGAGCAATTGAAACACTTAACTCGAAAGAGAATTATGTAACCTCGAATTTTAAATAATGAGAAACATACTGGAATTGGGAACGAATTCGGTATAGTATACATTCAGAACAAGGAAGGAATAATTCCCTAGATTCTTTTTAAATATTTCCAGAGGTATTGATTAGTTGGAATACTTTTAGTTCTAAATCACTTCTGAAAAATCTTCTGAACTACCGAGGACCTTCAATGCTGACATTATAATACTGAATAGATAACACCCTAAATACCCTGGTAGGTGTGTGGAGATTATCCGCTCTTTCTCTCGAAACTCACCGGTCTTCAGCCTCTCCACTGATATTTCTTTTCCGATGAGGTCCCCGTTAATAATTATTGATGTGCTGTTAATGAAAGAAGCGAGAAATAGGAGTGTAAAATATCTTTTAGTAATCTGCTACTAAGTTCCGACGGGTTGCAGCCCAAAAACCAATAAAGAACATGCTCTGCCGTCAATTTAATGATGACCTCAGTGATGCACATGCAATTATCACTTTGGTGGTATTTGGAAGCCTGAATGTATTAATAGTTGAATAAAGGGAGCCTGCCTCTCCAATTTTGTTCAGACCAACATCTGACTAGAAGTTACTTAAACTGATCACCAGTGAAGTGAAAATCTCACTCTTCTGGAGCATCTATGCAGGTCCTAATTATGACCTTGTATGAGTTGAGCCGATTTTACTTTTTAGTGGCTTACAGACATATCGTTCTCGAAGGATCGGTACAAAAGTTTTGTTTGAATATTCCGCTGCAACGAAAGACCTTATTCAAAAATATTCAAGGCTAAGACTCAATCTACCAAAAGGTATCATGTACTCTGGATCAAGTATTTTAGGAGTAATTCCAAATGGACTGTTACCATGACGTCGATTAGACTCCCTTGTGCTCCTCGATCACTGACTACCGATCCGTCGAACGAAACAGAGGTAAGTAGTGTCTAAACAACCCACGTCTATCTCTTTTTCAAGGATGGAAAGGAACTTCAAGTCAGGCAATTGATTGGGCTGTTTAGGAAAGTATCCCACAATACTGGGATGACGCAGCCATTGATCTCATCTTTAGAAAAGCCCTAGGTAAAAAGTATCGGGATATGTATCTGGGTTTCGCTTCAATGCTATTGGCCTCGCCAAACACTATGGGTTGTGAGAGATTGACTAGAAATCAGCAAGCGGGTTTTCATACAGACTGCTAGTATATTAATCACGTCTTTGCTGTTCACCAAAATAATCGCTACATCATTTAAACAGTATCCCTTGAGTAATTCAGTTCTAGAGCATACCAACTATGGAAAGAATAACTGTTGAGCACTTATTATTGTTATCTAATATATTGAGTTCAAAGAACACACTGCGCAGAAAATCGAAAACAGACAACAGAAGAATGAATGGCAACTGGAAAGGATTGCCCAGAACAGTGTTCGATGAGAAATGCGGGTGGGCGGCCTATGCTCCTCCACGAGGGGTAACAGGCGTAAGTAATATATTAAGAGAGTGATTCAATATTGTGCAATAAACAGAAAATCAGATATCTGCAGATTATTTACCAAAACTTCTAACATAACTGACTCTGCCACGAGTGAATTAAAGTGGTAAATAAACCAACGTTACCTAAAGGTAATTTAACATTGGTAATGGTAAACTAGAGACAATTTCTGACTTGGAAAAATGACTAACGGGTTAAATCAGCACATATGGATATCGTTAGTTGGATGATTCATTCGCACCTTATCAGGAGATTAACTCCAAAATCGATTTCAGTTAGACTGATCAAAGTGTTTTCTGAGCATACTGCGGTAATAGTTCCATAAGACTTACGAATAAACAACAATGTATATTGACAAAATGTCCTGAAATTACACTTTTTTCAGATGGTTTTTTATCATGTAATAAATCGGAAGACGGAATACAAGAATTATATCACTACTAGTAGAGATAAAAAAATCAAAGACAAGAAACACACAAAAGTACACAGTTTTACAATATATAAAAACAGGAGATATGCGTGAGAGTAGTTGTTTACAGGAATACCATTTTGTAAACACAATGTACATTACAGAGACAGAAGGGTGGAGGAAAAGATGAAAATGAGTTAATGTTTATCAATTTTTTACGTCAGAATATAATTGTAAACAAAATAATGAGGCGCATAGTAGTTTTAAATCGTATTAATAGTCATGGTAAGTCGAAATCACTGGATTATTAATAATATTATTATTCATATAGATAGTAATAATAATAATTGTGCGTGAATATTTTCTTTCGAAAATAAGAGATCCTTGTAAATTGCATCAACAAAATTGGTAAAAAAAAATTATGAGACAGAAAAAAAATGAAAAAATCGTCATGATAAGCGGTAAAAAGACAACCAAGTAGAAATAATTTGGTCTTACACATAATCACTTCTAAGCCTTTCTCTATTATCATTCCCTAATTTAATCGAATTAACCACTAAAATAGTATTGATAGCCTATAAGTTATCAAAGAGTTGAGATTATCATTGTGCGTATGAACATTAAGGTAAAGTTTTGTTTGTTTTTTTTTATAAAAAAAATTTATAAAATTCATGCTCATTTAGTAAACAGGTAACCTGTGTGCGTACATTTGATCATCTAGATAATTACAAATATATTCATAAAATAATAACAGAGCAAAATTAAACACAAATACAAGAAGATATGTAGTATGTAATCCTAATTGTTTTTTCTTTAAAAAAAAACGGCAAGAGATATCTCTCACTATTATTCACCAAGAAAAATCATAAGAAAATTACACAATAATTAAAAACAATCATCCATTGAATTAAAACTGGAAGAATAAAGAAATTCTTTAAGACAATTTGACATTGGAGTATTGGATAATTTATACCATGCATTTAAATTATGCGTTATTTTAGAGGCAAGTTCACGTAGTGTAGATAAAATCATAATTAAATGAGCACAACGTGTTTGTGATCCATTACTTTCACAATAACGACGTAATAATTCAGCCCATAAATTTTGTGTACGATTAACAAAGTCAATATCTAATAGATCAGAACGTTCTAAATAAATAAATATATGCGTAGAAAAAGAGATAAAAAAGAAATTAGGAATAAAAGAACTTACCAAACATTAAGCAAATATACTAATTCAATTAAGTAAACTATTTCCAATTGCAAATATATCATGCTCAATGTATCCTCTTAGATAATATTTAGATAGTCATTGTGGGCGATGGCTGACGTAGCGGTCAAGGCGTTTAACTTTAAGTTACGGAGTGGTAGATTTAAACTCTGCTCTATTTAGTTTAACTTGGGCAACCACGTAGTATCAATAGCCCATACACTTTGGGTATGGCTAAAAACTAGGTACACGGGTTTGTAATTCGTTTATGGGTTGCTAAATATTTCTACTCGCAATTAAATGTTTAAGCTATTTCTCACCTTGTTTAAACGCCCCCTTTGCTTTCGAAAAATAGACTTTTATATATTTTTACTAGTTGTTAATATTGAAGCTATATATATATATATATATATATATATATATATATATATATATATATATATATCCATGTAGTATTTTCTGATGTAGAGCTTGAGTCTTAGTTTTTCTTTATTTACTTATTTGAAGGACACACTTCGTTGTTGCAACATAGGTCCGAACGCATCAAAACTTGATGTCCATAAATCATCAGTATTTATTTATATTCCATAATAGTATAATGCTTTTACACAAATCTTGTCTTTGAGTTATAAAATTATTATACTGTTAACTCTATAGCTGGCATAAAATTTACATAAGGGTTTTCTATAACTACATTTGTAACAATATTAGTTGAGAACAAGAATAAGGACACCAAATGCAGTCATTCGGTTTCAATGTAACTAATTTATCAACGACAAGTATGTAGCTTTGTGTGGGAACTCACTATTTGGGTGACATGTGTCTAGCTAGTCTCTCATTTTATAATCACGCTCAACATTTCAATTGTACAGTAAAAAATTATTTGCATTTTTATCCACTTTTACACTCGCCAGCCAAGTGAACAACGAAACCTCACACATTTTTAATCTATAAAGTATTAATATATATGAGCTAGGTATTGTGAGGCAATGGAAATCTCATAATTTTCAACTATTTGTAAACAAATGTGTCTGATATGAAAAATTATTGTGTATACATAATTTAGCAGCTGACTACCTGGAGTAAAAAGTATCACACCAATAAGTGGTCCAAATTCCATATTTGTCAAATGTAATCGCTGAAGTCTTGAAGCAAATTGAAAAATACTTTGAGAAGTTATACTATCACAAGTCATATGTAGACAATCCAGAGAGGAATCTGTAACTACTGCATTCGGAAACCATGGACTAAATAAACAATTCAATTGATAATTTATTGATGTAGATGAAAAGTTCATATGAGTCTTGTTCCGATTTTCGCGACATAACATTAATATCTAACAAGTGAATGATACCAAAATCAAGATAAATGTAAAATAAACATGAATATTGGTAAACTATCTAATGAATTGGAGATCCTAACAATTTTAACCTATCAGGAGACAACACAGATAAATGAGTTATTATGCTTAGACTAAGAACTAAGGCATGAATATTACAAAGCTTGTATCAAAGCTGATATCAGTTCATGATGGAAAGGTTAATTCTAATTCCTGACCAGTATGATCTTAGAAGATGCTCTCTCTATTCTGATTAGTCAGGCAGCATACGTTATGTTAACTGAAAATTCTACTGAGAAAATTATATCGGATTTTGAAAAATTTAGACTTTAAAACGCTCTTATAAATTTTAGATCATCTCAAACAATTAGAAAGAAATTCCAAGCACTAGATTTAAATTGTTTATTTCACAAATGAAGAAAATTGAAGCTATGAACGAAATTAATTACCTTACCCCAAGATTAAGTTTATTTTACCGATTTTTAACCAACCTTACTGGGATACTAATACCTCAAAGGAATAATTACTTACTATTCTAAACAATGCAAGTACTTCTCAAGCATATTCATGTTAGTTTATGCAACAAAAATTATTTATTATGATCAGTCAAGAAATGTAAATTGACTAACTGTATTCAAACTATTTTAATTGAGTAAATAATAAAATAACTGAAATTATAGATAGAAAAGATTTATCCATTGAAATAACACAAATAAAAATATGCTTACAGCAAGTTCAGGCAAACAATCTCTTAATAGGATAGATTGATCATGCTGAGAAAGTCGTATGAACTGCTCTAAATGACAGGCGAATTCATGTGTAAATTTAAGTTGAGCAGGACAAAATATTTCATCCACTGTAAGAAGCTTTAATGATTCACCCAATTCATAGGGAGTATGCTTTAAAAAAAATAAGGGTATTAAAATAATTAATAATAATAAAATTATTCTAGATAGAAACAAAAAAAACTGTTCACACAATAATAAATATAAATGATACATACTACATAGGAATGTGAAATGCTGGAACTATGAATTATGTCCAATCACATATAGCGCAGATGTTGTAGCAAGGAAAGATACTATCTCAATAATATGTACCAGTAATATTAGATATTATTATGAATTCATTTCATTGCATTGATACGATTAATGAATATACAAATTCAATTAGAAAAATTGTTAAATTCCTTGTAAATGAGATGCACAAACAGAAATTAAACAGAAAGAAAGTTCAAGCAGATTAATAATGATTGAACTCATTCAATAATAAATAAATCATGTAACAACATCCGTTTTTCATAGGTCTTAACTATTTATTTTACAACAGTAATAACTTTGAAATTTCTTTATATTACCGCTACTATTGTTCATGATTGGGATTTATGAGATAATCATATTCTATTGTTTGGGAATTTTAGAAAATATGGCTTAAAATTGGTCGTAGTGACTTAGATGTATTCATTTATTATCTTCCTTTATATATGGGCTCCGTGTTATCCTATTCGTTTTATAGTTGTTTTCTTAAAAATTTATCCTTGTTTCAATTTTAGATAACGTTGACTTGATTAGTCCGACTGTTTTTTACCTTTTGTCTTGTTAATTTATTTTCACCTTTGTGATATCTAGTACAACTGTGAAAAATACAAATTTGAATATTTATTCTATGGTGTGTATATTTTTGTTCATAGTCTGATGTTGAATGCTTCAGACATTTTATACCCATATAGTTATAGAAACTGGTGGTAGGACAGATATTGGTCGAGTATTCGCAGTACAGATAACTAACACTACAAAGGTCTAAATTAATTTACATATAAATTTATCACTTGCGATCTATGTGTTCAAACTATGTGATGAAATCTAAAACTACGAATAGGGCTATTTTTCTTATAGGAATAAATAACCAAATAATAGAAATGAAATATGAATGTGCAGAGTAGTAACGAGACAAATCTATTCAAATTAGTAATTTGTAAACTAATAGAAATATTACAGTAATTTCAATGCTTGAGATCATGAGTCACTTGAAGCTAGACCACCATGCATACACTCTTTGCGTTCTCCCTAATTTTAATCTCCCGATTCCTCCTTGTCTCTTTCTTCTCTTCTGCTTATACTCTTACTACCTCTACCACTATGGGATTTGAATCGACAATTGTATGTGTGCTAATGTGGTATGGCAACTCGAACTGATGTACGTACATACGAAGTTCTACGTTGTTACTGACTGACTGACTGATTACAAAAGTTCTCAAAATAAGATTTTTTTTAAAATCACCCATTAAACATACCTTTATGGGAGATAGATGTCTTGATAAAGATCCTGATAAGTGATAATAATCAGATTTAGAAATATTCCAACTATTCGCCTGATATTTGATAGCTTGATCTTTACAATAGTTTAAAAAACGATCAAATTTGTCTAGAGTTTGTTGATCTTCCTTAGTCAAACTGTTACTATTATCGCTATTATTATTATTACATAAGGTTAAAGAAATATTAGTAGAAGATGGTATTGATGAAGATGATGGTTGAAAATTAGTTGATGTTATTGGCATTTCGTGGGGCTTAAGTGTAGTTTCATTTACATGTGCTTCAGATGGAGTTAAAACTACGTCTACAGAACCTGACGAATATGCTGATGTTTCATATTTGTTTGAGGAATCTGAACTAGGCAAGGTAACCGATTCACAAGAAGACTGTTCTCGTTTTTTACCATGACGCCTTTTACGAACAGCTGTAGGTAAAAATAATAGGAATACTATTGATCAATAGAAAATATTTGTTTCTAAATGTAAAAATAATAAGAAATAAACTAGAACAAAGAATGAAAACTGACGGAAACGGTTAACTATACTTAAGAAATGACTTATTTATACTTTGTATAGATAAAGTTTACTAAATAGCTTGAAGGTACCTAATATATCGATTGCATTTCATGTTGATTGTTCTATGACTACGACAGTGTTTATTTCTGACAGAACTACAATAATGTTAACGATTTCATGAATACAAGGCATCTCACAGCTTAGTCATCCTGGGACTTTCTGAACAGTTTTAATGAATACAAAGTCTCTAGTTTTTAACCTGGTGTATTAAGCACCTGATGTAGGTAGAACAATTTCACAGCTTAACGAAGAGTAAAGGCTAAAATCACACCAATTATTATCAAGGTGGTATATTATAAACTTCCTACTTGTTCACTTTTGCCGATTAGTTTTAGTGTTACTAACCAATGCTCATTATGAAAGCTGCTAGATTAGCGCACACAGTACATATCCAAGATGCTGAAGCAGGTATTCTAACATTACATAAAATATGTTTAAAACAAGTTGATTAACCTTGGCCTCACACGTATAGTATTGCCATTAAACGTGGAAAATCTGTATTTGACAGCATTTTTGGATATCTTTAACTCAAAAAGATTGTGTTTCAAAAGTATAGAGCACTACCATGTTATGCACAAAATACTTCGTGGCCAAACTAACGTAATATCATGTAAAAAAATTTATAGTCACCTGTGGCCTTCGTCATAAGGAGTAACATAACTAACAAAATACACAAACTTCTTGACTATTTCGAAATACTAGTCATCAGCGTGTGCATGTACCGGTTTCTATCAGTCTTAAAGTGCTTTATAATTCAACCGCGAACTAATTAAGTGCGATTTAGGTAGACAGTATGTCATCACATATTGAAAAGAATCCGTACAACCAGATTCCATTACTTTTCTTATAGAACACATCTGGGATGTTAAGTACAGTAAAATGTAAATTTAATACAATGAATTTTTCTCTAAACTTCAACGAACAAACTAAGTAACGCGCAAACAGAAAGCGTCGTTTAGACAATTTTAAAAATTTTCACCAATTAAAATTAAATATATTTTTATTACTCTGATAATTTCTTGAAGAAGCTCAAATTAGATAAACAGATGAAGTACTATGAACTATTCAATCACAATTACTAAGATTATGCTAAAATAGTTTGTTCTTTAATAGAAATACTGAATGATAAAAATTAAGCTCTTTATAATAATCCAAAAGATAATGAGTCATAAATTTTACTAGTTTTCTGTTTAGTAATAAATAAGGCAACGAATTAAACCTCATTTGATGAATATACATGGATAAATTCTACGATAATTGAGCATTTTTCATTCTCAAAAAAAATATTATTTACACTAATCACTATTAGTTCAAAGCATACAATCATATCTGCCTTTAAATACAAGAATACTATTTACAATACTCCTATAAATATTTATTTCACATTATTTCATTCCATTTTAAAGTTTGAAATGGTATCAATTTGAGGTTGACAATCCCATCCCGTCGAAAAAACCTTGCTAAAAAATGATAACCAGAAATATATATATTAATGATATTACACAATATTGGGGATTAGGAAAATTAATTCGGAAAATCTGGAAGTGGATAGAAAGATAGATTAATGAATACGGTAATCAAATTCAAATGGAATTTGCATATAAGCACGTGTTTGCCCATCATACATAAATGATAAGATTAATATATTGAACAACACAGAATTCATTCTTTAGAAAGAAAAGCAAATAATTTAGGAAATACACAGTTAAACAATCAAAATTCTGTTACTCGTAAAGTCTGCAACAAAGAGAATAATCAAAGGAGTTGAAATAATAGTACTGACAATAATGAAAAATAAAGGTTAAAAAGAGTCAATGAAATCTGGAAGTGGTTAAGATTAGTCCTAAAAAATTAGAGGGAGGTAAAAATATGAAAATGGCCATTTAATTGCAACCGGTTTTAAATTTCCACCTAAACATCTATAGTTACATAGTGTGACTCTATTTTGCGGAGTCCGTACGAGAAGTATGGACCTCCAAACATAACTTATATAAACAATCTATAACCTCATAAAGTGATATCACTTTTGGTCTGACTGGTATAAATGAAGACTGGAATACAAATAGAATAAGATAAAAGAAATCAGTCAGAAGCTTGAAAGTTCTTGGATAAATTGCAATCGTAAATCTTATAGGACTTAACAATAAAATATTCTCAGATGAACGTATTGCAATGCTTACCCACTCAGATTAAACTTAACTAATAATATTAGTGTTTTAACTTATAGGTTATTCAGTTGAAGATTATCGATCCATTTTAACATATTGGTATCAATCCATTGAAAAATGAGAATCTTCGAAAATTCGACCTCATTTAGAACCAAATTTAAGCGTACTAAGGTACAAATCGAGCACAGTATCTTATAACCGAATTCCAAAACTTAATAGCTTATACCTTAGTTGTATATGATAGATGATTTTCTTACATGCCGTAAAATATGCCTTCGCCAAAACATTTTATTAGTGAATTTAGACTAACCAAAATGTTAAAAACAAATAAATGGAGTCAAACTAATAAAACTAATCAATTTGAAATTTTTCCTAGAGTTACTCAACTTATTCAACTAAACAGTATTTAAGAAAGTGGGTGAATTGGTTATCAGACTATAAAAATAATAAGAGTTCGCAAGATATTAGTCTCTCCACAAATAAATCAATAACAAAATGCATGGTATAACACAAGTTTGAATCTCAAAATGAAATATGAATATTTTCGGATTTGTTAGCATGTCTAATTGATAAGTGTTTGTAGGTCACTTTCAGGAATTGGTAACCTTTTCTAGAATGACCATCCCAACTCATCCTGCGAAAGACTTGACATCAAATTAAACTATTCCGAAAGATGATGAGTTAATTTTATTAAGTGTAGTTCAGATTTGTAGAATCGGACGAAACAAATGCAAGAAAACAACACTAAGAAATACATTGAACGGGAACACGATAAAAGAAGACATAATATAACGCAGATGAACAAATAACGATAATTTAATAGTTGAGATCATGAGTCAATTGAAGCTAGACCACCATGGAAAAACTGGAAGCACTGGACGGTTGATAGTATGTGGGTTCGAATCACGTGGGGCGGGGATCGTGGATGCGTACTGCTGAGTCCCATACTAGAACGAAACGGCCGCATAGCACATCCAGGTTTTCCATGGTGGTCTAGCTTTAATTGACTCATGAGGTCAACTATTAAATTACTAAAATATCCACAAAACCCCTCTTTGGAAATAACGATAAATAAACAACCTACCATCTCTCGACATTCCCACAGCAATGCACTTGAGGAGTCGACATTGTTGACATTTATTACGAAGCGTTTTATTTATCTCACATGTACCATTTTTAGCACAAGTATATGATTGGTCACGCTGTATAGCACGTCGAAAGAAACCCTGAGTAAATTTTTTAATAGTGTTTTGTAAGTAAGTTATAGAAGTACCATATTTAATAAGAAAATCACAAATTCATTCACATAACTTTAGATTAAAAAGCTGTTGATTGGAAAGTGGGTTAAAACACAAAAAATATGTTAGGAAAGATTTCATTTTTAAACCATCCAAACAGTTTACAACAAGCATTATTGTGTGTCGGGGTAGACAACGAGTGGACACAAGTAGTACATATCCAAATCACCTTATGTGATGAAGATCCACGATTCTATCAACCGATTTGCCATACTTCATCAGTAGTAAATCCTTAAGTGACGTCGTTGACTATAGTCCTATTATCACCCGGTGATTTTAAATTATGTAATAGAAGCTGTAATTTACGTACAACTGAGAACGAATTAAACACCGTTATATGAGTAACTCTGCCTGGAGCCCTTTTAGGATTAATGCCGAACTTAATCCTGGGTAAAAGGGAAGGGTTTGGTATGGGGTTAACAACAGCCCCATCCCGCAAATAAGAACCTTGGTAAAAAAACGCTAGTGAGAGGAAATCAACCATCTGATTATTAGTTTATTAATACAACATTGGACTAACAGCAGAATAAGTCAGTTTTTATTAAAGCACATTTACGTGGTGAAGGAGAACTTTAAGACAAGCCGTAAGATTAGCTTGTGATATATCTGAATATCTGTACTCAGAAGAAAAGTGCAGAACACATGAAACAGTCCCTTTGAGACGAGTTCGCAGATATATGGAATATTACTGACGACCTAACTTTTTCAAGTACACTGTACTGGCAAAAATATAGCCCCCGAATGCCCTGGTACGGCCGAGAGTGGGGTGAGTCCGCTCTCCCTCTCGAAATACTCTCACACGGCCGCGCGTATACAGCCTCTGCCAGAGAAGTCCTACTCATTGCCTTCTCGTGACGGAGGTGTTGTTTACGAAAATGAGAGGACGAAAAGCGAATGTCTGGCGCTTTAACCGGATCACAAACCAATGGTGCACATGGGCTCCAGTATCCTGCGGGAACAAATGGCGTATGAACCAATCGTTGGTCACCGGCTACCATGGGATTGCATCTCCTTACGATGCTCCACTGCCTTGTGGGTTAGACCTTTAGGTCAAAGGCTCGGGGAGTGGCCCCTTAAGAAAACCACCTGCTTCGGTTTGGGCACCCGGGCAGTATCGCAACCCACACACAAACGATGAACTCTATGTCTATGGCAACCACTTTTCTCGCTCCGAAAAACAACCAGTCGATTCAAATAATTATCATTAGTGTGGCGCATATATATTGGCGCTCTCTTGTACCAATATTCACGTGTCCAAATAAATACATAATAAATAAATTTGCATGTCAGCTATAGAGCCTTGTATTCATATCTATTTATATCATCATCATCTGAAACACGATATATAGTACTAGATGTATTTTACGTTATTTATGAGTAACCATTTGGTGCACGAATCATTTATTGTCTGATGTGATTAGAATTCGTCCAACCATATTAAACTAATTATTTACCTATTTGCTTATGCTAAGTGCCTACCATTATGGGTGGTTTTATTTTTTGAAAGTAAATTGTAATTGAAACTAATTACTGCTTGTTGCAGGATATATGAGTGTGATTTAGCCTTAACGTTTATCACTTTGAGATGTCTGTTTTTTTAATACACATAAAAATACATTTTTTCGAGAAGTTATGGAAATCTGAATTTGACTATCTTCGGACGCACTGGACGCTTTTAAGATCAAATGAAACTCGAGTATTCAATGTATTGAAAAATAAACATAGTAGTTAGCATACCTTACAACCCTCGCATGTAGACACACCATAATGGAACCCTGAAGCTTTGTCACCGCAAACTACGCACATTCGGGTTGAAACTTCAGATGATCCAGAGGACTTGCGTGTTTGGTCAACTTCTGAAATGGGGGATGTTTCTGTAAGGAAATGTAAACAGGAACTAACTAGTCAAACTCGTAGATAATCGAGTGGTGGACTATAAGCAAAGCATGTGTGAAAATTAGTGATACCAACTACCTGCCAAAACTCGAATGCTTGAACTGATAAGATACCGGTAAATAAAAGAACAAAATAACCAGCTACCAAGAACTCAAGTATTACTTTCCCGTGAAGATCTTTGATTAACTCAGATAATTAAATACGAGATACCAAACGTTTGCGATGATGCCTTCAATAGGAGTAGTCAAGTGTACTAAGAACCATTTAGATAATCAATACCGCTGTTCTAAAGTTAACCTCCATCATACATAGATATATGGGTTCACTTCAGATTTCAATCAAGCAAATTTGATGTGGATCTTAGTGGCGCTTCGTTCATCGAAACATCAGCAAAATCTTCGGGTAGGAGTGAAGTAGATTTATAGTTGCAAGAGTTTTGTGAGACTATTTTAACCCTAGTTGTTGCACTTCCTTCTCTTCAAAAACATTGATAAGATACTTAAGATGATCGTAGTATTGTTCCGAAAAAACTTATCCCATAAGGTTGGTCCAGTAATGCAAACCTGGTATCATTCGAAAACGTCTAGCCATCAAATACGTCATGTAGTAGAATTTTTTTAATGTCTCAACATATCTAACAGTGTACTGCATCGCATACGACAAACCTTTGCTAAAATCTATTAACCCACTCTCCGTTGTCCAGAACCACAAGTTCTTATGTCTGATAAGAATTCAATATACAAGTGAAATTAGCATTCTGCTTGGTTGACGTTGCAGGCTTACACTAAATTTTCTACATTGGTGATCGAAATCACGTTTCAATTCCAATCTAGGAGCACGTAATTGCGTTGTCATTTATTTATGAACGTAAAATCTACTAAATATTCACACTTGAATCGCCTTTGTATAGGACAACCCTGATTATACAAAATCTAAGATCATATATGGAAATATTTGGGATAAAAGCTTTAAGATGAGTGCACAAGAAATAGATTTTCTTCCTATAATGAGTCAATCATACAGAAAAAACTTACTTGGATGGGTTTGATGTTGAGTTGTCTTCTCAGTATCTACTACAGGATAGTACTGTAATAAACTTTTGTCCTCTGAATCATCTGTTAGCATACTTTGGTTAACAGACGACTGAATACTATTATTAAGTAACTGTTTGTTACAGGAATTTGATTTATCAATTGAACAGCGTTCACTGTCACAATTAACATCAGTATCATTAAAGATATCATGTTCAGAATTTCGATCATTAATAATAGCGACAAACACTCGATCCAAATCTAACCCACCGTCTTCTAAAACAGTATGGTTCATAGAAAGTGGATGAGTGAAACCAGTTAACAAAGATTCACTAGATTGGACAGGAAGACTTGGGTTTAATGATTTTAGAGGTTGTAAAGGAGATGTAAAACATGATTGGTTGTGTGCATCTGGAGTAATAAACGTTCCAGATACTATTTCGTGAATGGCCTCCGATTTTATTGGATAAGGAAGATTGTTATCGAAAACGCCAGTGTTCTCAACGTAAGAGTGTCCCGGAATTACAGTAGGTTCTGTATCATAATATTTATTAGGAGAATAGTGTGAAAGGTGATTTGATTTATCCAAGAAAGAGCCAACACCAGGAAGAGTCGTACTCGATGACAGAGAGTGGTATGAAGGACTAGACGACTGACAATCTGCGAACGAGACACTAATAACAGAATCTGAGGTAATATAAGATATTGTATTCTGGGAATTAGGATTTGAATATTCTACAGGACAATGGCTCATCTGGTAAGATAAGGGAACTCAATAAAGCATTATTTTATCCTTTAAAATAACTAACTGCTAGGATCATAAATCAATCCTATATTCCTGAAAAGTCAAGAAAACAATAAAAATAGTGTGTTACCCAAGAGAAATGACATCCTATAAAACTTTAACCGTAAACTAAAAGTTATGAAAGAGCTTATAATGTATTCCAGCTTGAGGTAGAACTTGAATATCAGAAATTGCTAAACTATGAGTGAGACACTGTTTGCAACATTGAATATAATCACGGCAGAAATGACTGTTGGTTTCACGACATACTCCAAACACCAGGTTAGCTCAGGGTGAAAACCTACCTCACGCTTCTTTAGTAAGCCAAAATGTTACTTAGGTAGTCTTTATATTGCCACTTATCAGAAATCAGTGGTTTCCTTGTTATTATTTTGCGTCTTGCAATATATAAAATAGTATGGACTTACACCTAGAGGTGGTTCGAGTCTATGTAACCTTACAATGAGTCTTTTAAACATTGCTTCAACGCTGAAGTTGTTATAGCTTTTACTTGTCCACGGCTTGAGTTGTAAGTTGGCATTTTAAACAATTTCGTCGTTTTGGTTTAAAACTAGCAAGTTTAAAATGCGATTCTCTTTCTCCAAATGTAAAATATTACTTCAGTCAGTCAGCTACAACGTAGGACCAGGCATATATTTGCATCGATCCAAGATGCCATACCTCAATAGCACAACAAAATGAACACCAATTTCATAGAATCAGTTACTTCAGTGGTGGTAAAAAAAGATTTCATATGAGTATATGATACATGGAGAAAGAATTAGTTCGCAGAATGATATAAAGTGATTTTAATCTTACAGTGTAAGGGAAAACAAAGAGTGTATAGACCTACGTAATTGTGACCGATTCTGAACCATATCAACCAGCCTCCAACCAAGTAGTCTCTATCCACCAACATGACTCATGCCAGAAGTTAGTAACTTTACGGGCTGATGCCACGTTCTGGTTTGGCCGTCCCTAACTTTCATCCGTCTTCAAAATGTTACCTTAGGACTAGCCTGCAGTAGCGCCTGAATAAATGATAGGGAGTGAACCAGTTGAGTACATTAACCGATTCACTTAAGATTCTCATTAGTCTTGATGGGCTGGTGTCTTAAGAAACCTCAACATGCATTCAGAAATCCCAGTTGGCTTACGCCGACTCGCATCACTCGTGGCGTAGGCCAGATATTAGTTTGCCAACTAAGTGATAAGTATGTTGCTCACCAGTTTATTCTGTTGTAGCTCTAAAGTTTTCCTTTGAAACTTGAGGACATTCGTAGATTACTAATGTCTGATCATAGGTATCTTAAAATCAATGCTCGTATATTTTAGGACTATCAAGGTTAGATGCGTAGTACTAGGTAAGGACGAAAAATTGGTTGGTGAGGCAGTAAATCTTTATTACTCGAGGTGATTAGGATATGTGTTACTCATGCCCAACCACCGCCTACAACGATGTTCTTTGTAGGAGTAGGTTGGAAGAAAACTAAGGGCGACCACAATAAAACCTGTCACTAAACAATGAAGTCATCGACAATTAGATCGAGCCGTGTCAATAAATATAGACTAACTGGTTGGGGTCCGCGTGATTTCCGTGACCAGTGGTTAAACTTTAAATGACACGGCTCAAGATTGTTTGGAATGGCACAGGTGCATCTATTCTTTGTGAGTCCTTCAGAATTTTTTCATTGCACCAGTATGTTTTCTTGCCGAACCGCATCTTTGATGACTAAACTTTACCATTAACACTGATACTGTTACTACCTGTACTGCTCTGGTATTTGTCCTGACAATCTCATATCTCTGTACTAATTAGGTATGGCAACTTGGACCGATGTGTATACCTACCAGGTTCTACGTAGTGACTGATTGTTAAAACAATGTAGGGTAAGGCGTTAGGACAGTATGTCAAGCATAGCAAATGAAACTAGAAGACAAGGGTAGCTTGCAAGTAATAAGCCACGTGCATTTGTGAAATACTTTGTACATACAGCCGAGACACCGAGCAATGCCGATGTTAAGCCGCTGTAAGAACAATAATCGGTTGCTTGAAGAGTTTGAAGACAAAAGTGGGTTATTAGCTACAATGTGTTACTTAGAATCCCTGGCAAATAACAATTTTTTTCCCTAGGAGTCGGACAGAAATAAAAATTTACTGATAGTTTCTCTTGTTTTTAGACAAAAAATCTAAAAGATGTTATGTCGCGAAAACTAACAATCATGTTAGCATCAGTGTAAGTCTTTTCCTTTAAAAAACCACGTGTGACTAACTTTGGCGGAAACTTTCCAGAAAAGTGGAATAAAAGCATCCCGCCTACAACTGAGTAGACGGAATTGCATGAATTACAAACATTGTACAAACTAGTATGTTTTCTGTTACTGTCTAAAATTTTATTTTTGTTATTAACAGATAATACAGCTGCAATAACTTTCTCAACTATCTGTGCCTTCATCATCTACCTGTGCAGAAGTATAATTCACCGGTTCGATTTGCTTAACTGGGCTAAGATTACCTAACAAGCCTGCTTAAATTTATCTCCGAAACCAGTTCTCATTCTCAATTATCGGAATAATGAAGAGGCATACAATCCTAACAAATACATCACAGAAATGCATGTGTTATTAATCCACACAATATCTTACCTCCAAATCTATGCAGCCTAACCAAGTCGAATGGTTGCCGCTACAGACTCATTCGAACATTACCAACCTAAACAGTAATGCAGTGTCGTTGTCTTTAGTCAGACCGATCATTTAGTACAGACAACTAAAAATAGCCAATCATATTTTAGCCTGATTCAATGTTTACTTATTAGTCACTCCTTACTTTGCTGTAATTGGCTTATTGTGTAAATTTACCTTTGTCGTCAGCTTAGTCATTGGTCACGTGTTTTCTATCATTTATCGAATTTGATTTTGGGTGGCCTGATAGGTTATGTTAATACAGACACCATTGGCTCTTCCCCAAAGACATTGAAGCGAAGCCTGTCATGGTCTTAATATTTTTCCGTACCTTGTTTCCCGGTTGAAGTTCTTTCAATTGAATCCATCTTGTGGTGATAATAACGATCCTTACATCTGTCTTGATATCGAGAATAATTTTTTTTCCTTTTGACCCATCGATAAAAAATATCTTTTTCAAGTCACAAAATTGGGACGCGAGAAGGGTTCTGCACTAAAGCTAGATTTAATCAGCTCGGACATATTAACTGTAGTTTAACAAATATTGGGGTTCATGCGGGTTATAAAACTTTGTTTTGCCTCTAAAAAGATATCTAAACATTGATTTACGCCCCAGAGTAAGCTGGTCGTTAATATGTATTCAGATCGTGGTAGGAAATCTTGGTCTAACCCCACTATCATACAGTACTCGAAGACCAGGAGTAATAAAATAGATATTAACCTGAGCAAATCAAGTTTGCGTAAGATTTCATATGTGAACCTCAAAATAACCAGGCCTTTTCTTGGTCGACTGTATCTTCCTCTATCTTCGCCATTGTTATCTATTCTTTCTATTTATATCCGATTGGAGAATTTCCACAAATCATCAAAGTAAATTTCGTTTAGTTTATTCAATTAGTCACCAGAATCAAACATGATTATTTTTGTCAGATACTTTGTTGGGTTTGTTAGGTTTGTTTGGTTAAGGTGAGCAAAAGGATAAGTTACTAATAGAAATGAACTCTAAATCCTCACTAGACAGGTTTCTGAAGACATTTTGAACCAATAGATACTTCGGTGTTGGAGTTTATAACTCTCTGTAGTTCCTGTACTGTCCTATCTTATGTATGTTTTTTCCTGCTGATTGATGCTTCGATATGATAATGAATCGTGGTTTTGTATCACTCATCCTACTTTGTCTAATGGGTAGCTAACCTAAATCATTGAACTCATTACAAAGTTCAAAGCATAAGTACTGGATTTGAATTTTATTGGGAGCAGAAACAAGTATATACATGAATTTAATAAACATAAAATATGAAATTCTAAATCTCACTGATATTAAACTCCAAATTTAGTCTGAGTAATTTGGTATACTACAGCATCCTGTAATAAAATATTGTCGAGAGTCATCCATCTTGGTGTAAGATTTTTCTCTAATCTCTCTTCGTCTTTTCATGTTTTATTGTTATCAAAAGAAGTTTTCCGTCTGACTTATTATATAAAGAGGCCATATATTTTGGCATCACTCGTCATTTACTTTTACGACTTACAAATTCTCTGATATTACCTATTAATTTTTACTGTTTCCCATTATTCTTTCCCGGGCTTTTAAGGAGAGATTTTGCTAAGAGTGCCGAAGACAGTTAACAATTTGTGCTGAATCTTTTGAGGTCATTAGGAATACGGTTCTGGATAGACATTTAGAATTTTGCAAACTCCTGGCAAGTATTATCTTATCAGAAAATAACCGTCTACTTCATCTACATCCTTCTCCTTGCATACCTTCTGGAAGAACGAGACGTCAATACATTAAAATCCATGCTCTCAAGCAAAGATATAAAAGTTCTACAATACCTTATCCAGTAAGCACACACTGTGATGAACAGTTTCTAAGAGCTGACCTAGCCTGTATTCTTAAACATGTTTCTGATTAAAACTTGTAGAAATTCTTATCTTATTAAAAAACATTTTACTTAATTCCAAGTAGTTTATTTACTTAATTCATGAATACCTGTATGCAGTTACTGGGTTTTTTTAATCTCGTTTTGTAAATGGAATCTGTCGAAATACCTTGTGCTGAGATTTCCATATTGTATTAAAAATATAACGTTAACTAAAGCCATTAATAGTAGTAATAACAATAATAATAATAACCCCCTAAACATTTGGTTTTATTAGACATCTAGGCTTTCAAGTAGACTACTCTTCTCAAAGAAGCATGAAATTATGCCAAATTTCTCAGAAATTGGTAAACATTCATATGTTTTAAAAATTTAAAAAAAACTTAGTTATTTAGGTACTGCTCATAGATTATTGTGTACAACGCTTTCTGCTTATCCATTACGTGTCAAATAGCTTACAATCGTATTTAATACGATTGTCACTACACAATAACTTGATGAAAAGTCAAATAATGTTCGCTCGCTAATTTCACTCTTTGCTTCGTTGATGATTTATTATCAATATATCTTTATATATTCCTTAGAATATTTGTCTAAATATTTATTAATTTAATCTACACTGTTGTTGACTTCAACTCATTTTAATGTCACGCTGACAGTATTGAGGATTAACTTCAGATGACAAAGTTTATGATATAAATAGGTAGTTTGACCCGAGTTAAATGAAAATCTGAGTCTCTAGATATTTCTAGGTTACTAGCTGAGTGATTCACTAAATAAACTGGAAAACTGATCCATTAATCAGATTACAGTTACTTCACTGTAAAGATTTTTTTAATGACTTCACTACAATGATTAATATAAATATTTCTTTTTAAAAAGTGAAAACGTCCTTATTATAAATGATATTATGATATCTAATTTCCAGAATTAACGAAAATTTGTCATTTAAATATTTAAAGTTGTCAATGTGTATTCCATTTTATACAGAGAGGCTGATGATCAAACCTAGTAACCACTGCTTAACTAAGTTTTTATAAGTACTAGTACCTATCAGTGAAATGCTATTGATATCTAAAGAGTGTAAATCATTTCACCAAATAGTGTAGTCATAGATATATTGATTTACTTTATTGAAGTCTATAATGAATATTTCTTTTTGTCATCTTGAAAATGGTCGATATTACGTATCAATAAGTGATGTTCCAAATATATAACTTATTGCTTCCGACTTGAAAACTTAAATGATTAAAAAAATAAACTTAATGAAAGGGCAATAATTTATTAAAAATGAATGATTGACATAACCAATTATGTAACCATGACCAAAATTAATAGAAATGAAAATAACTTTTTAATATTCAGCGTATACTTTAGACATTTTATGTAACAGAATTAGCTATTAACAACGCTCAGTAGTATGTTACTATTTGAATACAACTCATCATTAGCCGAAAATCTAAATAAACCTAATTATTATAAATACTATGTATGGAGTATTCATCTATTCGTTTTACTGTAATAATGAAACAAAAGTAGGGAAAAAAAGACAAATGTTTCATCTTAATGTAAACCTAATTTAAAGTATGATTAAGATGTACGTCTATACAGTTTAACTCAATTTATAAAGTCCCCAAACAATAATTTGAATTTCACTAGTTCCAACTTGACTACAGCCCATATGTTTTCTCTTGAATTCAGTCATCAGTAGGATGTAAATGGTTTTTATTATTTGAGAATATTCTTAAGATTCTGGACTCTAGAAATAAGAAAGCTAGGGTAAACTCTAAGATACTAAAATGAAGCAGTACTTGTAATATTCATGTAGATAAGGTTATCCCGAATTTGCAATCGTGATTTCTAAGAGTTTGAATCACACATTTAATTATGTTTTTGAAATGGTTTAAGTTTTGTGAATTATTCAGGTTTGAATGGCATTACGGAGCTCATTCTACCAAAGGATTCAAATAGTTGAACACAATTCAGTGATATCTGAGAATTTTTCTGGGCCACTGAAAATAATTTAAACATTGAAAACCGTTAAGCTTGTTTGAGGCTAGTTAGTTCGGTGACATACTTATTGTGTGACTTAGTAGTATATTTCTTCAGCTCACCATTACAACTTATAATATTAATTACATGCTGATACTACATTTAGGCGGTTTATGGTTTCTTCATCTAAGGAAAACTCTGATTAGGATCACATCATTTCCGAATAATTTATAACTTAGATTTTAGTGCAAGAGCTTGACAGTTAATTGGACTAACGAGCACGAAATATTTTGTCATGACGATATTTGCAAATCTACTGCTAATTTTTTCCATAAAGGTCTGTTGTTTCGAATTCTTTATATTTAAGATTGATTTACTCATCCTATTTCTCCATATGGATTCTTTAAGCGGATGTTTCGATATTAGCGTGTTAACACATGTTGACTGTATATTTTAATGATAAAAACGAGAGGGATTCAGAACATACTTCATTCTATATGATACTCGGCATTTGGAGATGACTATTAACTAATCAGTGGACATAGTAAATCAGCAGCTTATTTTTATAACTCTTAGAGGTTTAATTTATGGTTAACAGTGGGAGGCATGAACATCAAACAAATAAACGTCGAACTGGACGAAATCCATGTCCTGGATTCTACTACTAATCACTTTCCTTGTTGAACATATTTATCATAGAATATTTTCATATTGATTGTAGAGGCTGATGATATGCCAAGAAAGTTAGAAACATACGAAAATACTTTTTGAATGGATTTCTATTAACTGGAGAATAAATGAAAATAAGGGAGCTCTGAACAATTATTCCATTATACTTTACAACTTCTAGTCGTTATGATCCCATAATCTCATATGAAGATAAATTCTTGACTCTCAATTCTAGTGTCTATTGGTTTGACTTTATTTTTTGTGACTAGTCATCAATGTCATTTTTAGTACTTTGATTTTACTTGGAGCGAGCACTAATCACCGTGAAATCATCGTTATAACAATTCAGTGCTGCTCTTCGTAGTAAGTGGTAAAATTCGAAATTAATCAACCATAGATCGTTGATTAGTTCAAGATGAGTTACATTACAGATTCAGTTGCCTTTTAGTAATTTATGCAACTCAAACTGAATTAGAAAGAG